TAGCTTTGTCATCAGGCCACAGGTAAGTTACGCATAAATTGAGGGATTTTAATGATTTCAGTGCGCATGCATGTATTTTAAGCCGAATTTGAATAGTTTTCTTAGAGAAACAAATTTCAGTACATTCCAGCCAGCGAATAAAAAGAAACATTCGACGCCCTTCAAACTATTATATAAATCTTCAAGGTATGCTTTTTGATTAGACTACTGTGGATTTGTTCTGTAGAGAATTTGGTAGCGTCCGTACAAGCTGCTATAAGTCGGTATGAATCAAACGAGAAGTGAAGAATTAAAAGAAAAAAATAAATCACGCAATCCTTTATACATCCGCTAAAGCAAAGGCTAAAGACGACTCGAATGAGAAAGTCGCCTTTTCCTTTGTCTGCTCAGTCAATTGTATTTAGGGTTCCCTCATCACTCGAAACCTTCCTGCTCCAAATGTGCTCATGCACTCATAGAGTTTCCTATAAATACACTAGAGGGAGCTCTGGCGCTAGTGTCTAAGGGAGCTGCAGCGCACGGCGCTTCAGCGAGCACGGGAGTAATGGGTAGCACGCGGAACTGCCTAAGCTTCAATTTTACTGCTCCGTCTGGTTCCGTGTGGTCTGAATCCACTTTGCCGCAAGACGAAGTTCAGGAAAAGTTTAGCTGTTCCACTTCACCGCCTTGACCTAGTTAGGCTCACCGATTCAAATCCGGTCACGAAGTTCACAACGGCCGGTTCTTTCATTCGAAACACAACCAAAGACACAGAAATTACCAAAGCCTCAAGTGCGTCGGAAGCCGCCAGCATGAAGTCTGGGCAAGTTTGTGTATTACCCATGATTCCCATGGTTGCAGAATCATCGCAGCGGCAGAGACATCTCTTGTTGAATTTAGAAAACGATTGCAGCACTGCCTCCGGGATCGGAGACATTTAAAGTTTCCCGCGCCTCACGAGGTTTTTCACTGACTCCGTGACCTGTGCATGTTTGACCAAACGACGATGTCGTGTGATGATGTCACCACATGGCGTCATCCCGCTATGCACGGATTGGTCATTCTGTGACTTTGCGACGTGACGTCACAGCTAAAACAGCGTTATGTAGGCTTTTGACAAGATCTTTGCGTTCACACATGTTCTCCGAAAGCCTCGCGCTATCCTGGCGGATGGGAACGTCAACATCGTTTAGGTATTTCGCCTTGCTGGTAAACAGACAAAATGTGGGAATGGGCCATGTTGGCTTAACGGCTAAAGGGGCAATTTCTGAGCGTCACGCAGCAACTTCAATTTCCGGTCGTGGAGCTTGTATCATGGTGAGGGTGAATCGAAATAAAGCTCCCGTGGAGTTCTTTGAATATCTGTGCGCTTAGAGACAGCAGTAGATAAGAAATTTCTGAAGTGACTCACTGCAGTGGCTATCATGATCGCATCATCGTTTCATAATTATGACGCAACCAGAATTAAAAATACTCGCATAATCCCCTGTGTACACACCTAAAACGATTGGAAGGCAAAAACCATCTGTTTTTGTCTTCTCACTGGAAGAGAAAAATGTGAAGCCACACTCCAAAACATTTCTGCCCCTAATGTGGTTCTGCATTGCCTCCAGTATCGGAGGCACCTCACCTGGTTCTGCACTGCCTCCGTGGTGAGCCCACCATTGACCAAGCTAAGATGCGGCACGTTAAAGAACTCCAGGTGGTCGAAATTTCCGGAGCCCTCCACTACGGCGTCTCTCATAATCATATGGTGGTTTTGGAACGTTGAACCTCACAAATCAATCAATCAAACAAAGCTAAGATGCATGTGATGACAAATCACGTGATGTCACGAACTTTGTGATCTGTGACGTCACGATGACGTCCTAGAGTGGCGTCATCGAGTGATGGTGATTTTTTAGCATCTGTCACTGACGGCAGTGCCGGCGCCGGATGACCATCAATTTGCGCGTGTGATGGTGCATTGTAGGCTTTCTCCTTTTAAGAAGAAAAATAATTGGACAAGTTCGATTGAACATGCGCTTATGCATACGATTTGTGCAGCGGGCACTGTGTGAACGACCTGAATTATTTGCTATAAGCGAGATTATAAAATTCCTTCCTGCTAGGCTCAATCGGCCAGACATTGACTTCCCTTTTTTTCTTCTCTCAGGCCAACACGACTATGCAGAATAGCGCACTGTGGACGAAAATGTGTAAGTGCTGCGTTCCTGGCGGATTTCCTCGTTTTCATCCACAGCTTAATCTGATGATGCCCGTCCCTCTTGTTTCTCTGCCGTCCAATCTCTTCAGCTTGCGGAACGACCCAGTTCGCTCCTCGCATTATAAATGGTCTCCGCGCTCCGGAGCACAGATACCCATGGATCGTAAGTTCTGCATAGTAAGTTTTCTCCGAAGACAATGGTTTGAAGCGCTCGATCATGTCCATGACCCATCGTAATAACATATTCACGATGCAGGGAGGGAGCAGGGGTGACTAGAACGGCGCACTAGAAAAGAGGGAGGCAGGGCGACCCACTACTATTGCAACTGACTTCTCTATTGAGGAAAAAACGTAATTATAACGCGGCTACACCAGATAAACCAGACGAGTCGACATAACAAGATTAAAAACGTACAATCCCCCAGCACCATTACTTTACTTGTTCTAGGAAAACTACCTCACCCTCCTGAAAATCAATAGATAGACATATCGGGGTGGGAGGAGCAAGGTTCTAGGGGTCATCCATCTATGAAACCTATTGACCAGGGGCGTAGATGAAAATTTGTTTGGGGGCTGCAGGGAAATGGGTCTCTAACCATACCTAATGAGTGTGCGTTTGTACACGTTCTTCTATATTAACAGCAAGGTTATTGAAGCTCTTCATTGCACCGGTTAGTGCGAACAAAGACCACCATCATTACGAACCTGCTAGCGCATGCTGCTTCCTATACCTCTTCACCTTCTGCTTATTTCCCCGAACACTGTAGAATGCAATAAATATGATGAACGAGCATGTGAAGAGACTGAAAGCCACGCAACACAACGTAATTACTAATCATGGTACTAAAATCACATCACATATAATATCAACTAGTCACGCGACATAAACCACGTGACTAATAGCAAGCAAGATCTAGTAACGTGGCTAAAATCACCGACCACGCAACATCTAGAAGAAAAATCATACATTTAATCACGTGAATAAAATCAATGTAGCATCACGAGACGCAGTCAAAGTAAAATTTAGTCATGTTATTAAAACCATGTAACAACTAGTCACGCGAATATAGTCCCGTAACCCCATAAAACAGCTGGTCATGCGGCATGCTTCCACCTTAAGCCATGCAATTCCTTATGTGACTAAAATAACTTGACATCACGTAACGACCAGTCGCTTGATATATGTTCCCACCAAGAATCACATAACTGCTAGCGATGAGACTAAAATGGCACGATAATTAATCAGATGGCTAAAATCGCGTCATATCACGTAACTGGTCACGTGATCAAAACAGTATTGTCATCTCCCGGTAAGGGAAAGAATGTGTAGATGCGAAGCAACGGGCGCTAACGCTTACACCGGTGGCGACGGTGATGCTCATCGCGGCGTTGCGCAGGAGAGAAACCTGGGGAGGCGCAAGGCACGCAATGATGGGCCGGTGTGTCCTTCTGGAACATATCGCGGCCAATGGGCAGTTGGACACAGAAGACTCCGATTGGACACAGAGACCCCAGTGTGTTTTTAGTTAACGCACTCACTACGATTTTTTATTGTTCAACAACGTACAGAAGAAATATCCCACTGGCACTACCCTGGGGGTCAATATCCTGTGCTCATATATACGGGGTGACCAGTGAACGGTTGTGCAGTGCGAGCGTTCAGTTTTCTCAATCCCGACATTTGCTAGCACATGCTGCCTGCGTCGGCGTTGCGAGGTGAGAGAGGGGGAGCGTAGGAAGGGATAGAGAAGGTAGGGACGCGCATGCGCAATGGGTGTGTTAACGCCGCTGGGAGGGATGCCTAGAGAAGACAAGTGGAGAGAGTAACGCGCAGCTCTTGGAGGGATGGAAGGAGTAGAGTTGCGCATGCGTAGTGTTGAGTGCGGACACCGCCGACGCCGCGGGACATAGGCCCGAGCAAGAGATGCTTCGCCTGAAAACACGTATAACATCCGAACTAGTTACGGCACTAATACGACGTGGCGTCGTTTATAGCTAGTCACGTGATCTCGACAAAATTGACGAGTTCCAGCTAATACCTTGTAACGCGTATCTAGAGTACAGAATCACCGAAACAGTAAAAAAGTCATTCTAGCCATACTTATAAATATTAGCCAAAACTTAGTATCTCTAGTGACAAATTGGCATCACTAGCCTGTTCTTCCGTTTTCATTTACTAGCAATAACCACGCCGAACACAAGCTCTGCTGCTGGTTCTAAACTTGCTCCAGTGGTGGAAGCTGGGCACATTTTTACACGCATGAAGAACTCAAAAAAAATCGGAGGTGAAGTTTGAGGAATGGCACATCTTGCAATTCCATCTTGCACATGGAATTCCATCCCTGTGCAAGACCACTGGCCGTATTATCTCGGTTGTGGTCAACGCATTCCAATCGCGCGATATTGAAAATTGTTGTCGGGTGCTGACATTCGGGTAGACGATAGACTATGCTATGTTATAAATAAATAAATAAATAAATAAATACGCAGTTTTTGTCCACTACATATTGGCCAAAACAGTGCCACAGGAGAGATTCGGGGCGCTAATAATCTATCAATGAATCCGTCTGCACGTTTGCAGCTGATTCAAAGTTTAATGACACTGTTTTCGCTGATGATTTACGTTGAGCGCTTCATTTTTGGTGTGGGCCTTTTTTGATGCCTTCATATTTGGTGTCATCTGTGCCGCATCGGCACAAATGCGTATCAGATGGTAGGCAAGTTCAGCGCCCTACTGTGTCGTCTTGCACTTACACCTCGGTTTTGACTCGCCGGGTCCTGTGCTCGTGAACGGCGTCATTTTATTGGCTACCAGGTTCTGGTTCAAGCAAGAGACGAACCTAAGAGGCTCACCGGGATCTGCGGTGGCAGCATAATCACCGCCAGGCACGTCCTCACCGCCGGACACTGCTTGTTCCTGTAAGTGGGAACGCCATTTTGTACTCTCGTTTCCAAGAATGTGAGGTCAACGCTTCCTGGCAACGTTAACAATCTGCCTTTTTCGCGATGCCATGACGCAAGCGTGCTAAGCTCAGCGGAAAAGTTGCAAAGTGTCCCTTCATCTCGAAGGCTTTGCTTCTGGCAATACCACTTGTCCCAGCCTCTGCCGAAAACCCTGCTAAAATGGCATAGGGAGGCACAGGAAAACGAAAGAGGTGGATCAACTAATGAGATCTATAAGATCCGCCCTTTCTCGGCAGAATCTGGATGACGACAGATATTGCTATTGCTCTCTAGTGTATTTATAGGAAAGCATAACTTTTTGTGCCCAACTCTATGAACGGCGGGCCTTGCTCAGTGTTAGTGCAATCTCAGATGCTCTCTAGTCCTCTTATCTATTCTTCTTTTTCTTATCAGCTTCATGCTCCAGTTTCATTTGGTATGACTCGAAGGAGCAGTGAAATAGAACTTTGAAATTTTACTACGAGCGTCAACGCAGCCATGGCCAGCGTTCTCCGCTCTCGGTGTTGTACGGCCATACTACTCTGGCGCTGGCAAAGCAGTCCGCCGTAGTCCGGGCGAAGCTCCATCCGGCTTACGACGACCGGACCCTGATGAACGACATCGCAGTGCTGGAGCTGCCGCACGAGCTAAACTTCTCGGACACCGTGCAGCCCGTGTGCCTTCCCACCGAGGACTTTCCCCCGCTGCCCGGAACCATCGGCGTCGTGGCCGGCTGGGGATACACGTCGGACTGTGAGTATAACCGGCTGGCCCAAAACGGAATTCAAAATAATAATACATGAAATGCAATTCAAAATAATAATACATACATACATACGTTGCAAAAATGGAATTCGATAATAATACATGATTGATCCCTGCGTCATCGGAATAAGTATAGCGCGAAAGTAAACTGTGCCTTTAGTGAAGTACTAGATGAATGCTTTACTGTTAATTGATATAAGAGAGCTTGCCAATTGTGTATAGGTATTTGGCAGCTATAGCACCATACAACCTGGGTGCACCCACGTGGACGCTTTTCGGCAGCAAAGAACATGGTTTTACTGCCAGGCTATGACTATTTCAGCGCGTTACAGAGCTCTATTTTTAACATGGATGGAAGCTATGAATGAAGCCAAGGTAGAGCTGAGGCTCGAGCTAAGGTCGCTGCCTTGCGGTGCATCAGCAGCGTTAACAAAATTGCACTGAATGGGACAGATAGTAGCGAAGACATGCTGCAGGAGCTAATCGCTGAGGCCACGGTCATGATGCATTCCTTAAATTAACGGCTCCCAGACGGCGCTCACCCCGACACTTTCGGGGTGAGCGTAAGCAAAGAATATGGTGTTACTGCCAGGCCATGACTATTCCAGCGCGTCACAGAGCTCTTTGTTTAACACGGATGGATGTTATGAGTGAAGCCAAGGTACAGCTGAGGCTCAGGCTAAGGTCACTACCTTGCGGTGTGTCAGCAGTGTTGACAAAATTGCACTGAATGGGACAGATAGTAGTGACAAAGTGCTGCAGGAGCTAATCGCAGAGGCCACGGTCATTATGCATTCCTTAAATTAACGGCTCCCAGACGGCGACACAACATCGGTGACTACGGGTGCTGTAAGAGAAAAGTGCGAGATATAAAAGACACGTTCGTAAAGAATACAAAGTGCGTAAACGTGAAGCAGAGGATAGCTTGTCCGGCATTGATTGTCACGGACCGAGAGATCGTGAATTTGGCTACCATTGATGTAACTTTTTTTCTCTGCCATCTGCTCATGTGTATTTCTTTGTCACTTAGGCGACGGAAATGCGTCGCTGAAGTCTTCGAGGACCTTGGAATAAAACGCAGGTTCAACGCCAGGCATTGAGGAAGAGAAACGTTATTAGGCGACATTGCGCAATGCGATAGAGAAAAAAAGAAGCATACCGATAAATAAATAAATAAATAAATAAATTAGGTAATTCATTAAAATTATAGGTCAAACAAGCACGCACTCAGCTTCACTGGTCCCCGATTTCCGACAGGTGACGGACTCGTAATACATTTTCAACTACCCCTTGTATTTTTTACCATACGAAAGTGTTTTGCAAGCTGAGAGCGTAGTCGAAGGATCAAAACCAAGCAATCCACACACTCACAAGCCCATTTATTTAATTAGCAACGTGTTATTCATGTGGGCAACATCTTTAAGAGGAATGTCGGAATGTTATTGGCGAAAGACTAAATTCTGCAGATGCCTGACTATAGTTCATTCAAGAAATGTAAGAATACGAGCAAGAGACTATTGAGATAGCTATAGTTATGCGTGTTAGGTTTGAGCTTTATAAAATTGGCATTTGTGTTGTTTGTTTGCCTTCTCATGTCAGCATGACTTTTTGAGACCTGTGTACTTGCAGCTGGAAAGCAACACCGCAACCCGTACCTGCTCTTCGTCACGCAAGTCATCAAGCCACAGGAATACTGTGTGGCTAAAATGCAAGGCTACTTCTACAGCCCTTTGACCTCGTTCTGCGCCTACCGCTACGGCTACGACGCCTGCCAGGTATACACACGAGATGCAGGTGGAGAGTAGCCGAGACAGTGCTACGGTAATATCTGGCGCAGGCGATTGGTTTTTGGCTGTGGCCTATTTCACACCGTGACAACCACTGAAGAGCACAGCCGTAATCGCGGCAGTGTGTGTGATTGGTTGGCGAGATCACGTGGCGTCGTTAGATCTGGCGCTATATATAGGTATGAAATACGCGCGTCTACACCTGATTGGTCTTAGCGAGATCACGTGATCTACAGGCTCAGGCCGCCGTGTTACAGAGAACGCCACGCGCAACTTGATTTCCCGCCAGGTCACGTAGTGTAAATCTGGCCGCCAGACTTGAAATACTTCACATCACACAGCTTCACCCCACGCTTCGTTCCGTCGACTTGTTTTCGTATGCACCGCCGACCGAAACAACCACATACACCTCAAATCATCTCATGTTCAGAACGTCTTTTCACGACCGAAAATTACGTTTGCATGAGATCTTAATCAGGTGGAAGAATTTAGGAGACGACCGTCGTCATTCAACAAAGGAACAACCTCGGCCGTGTCATCGTGCAAATTACGCAGACTAAACAGGAAGGAAGTTCCTACATGAGCAAGCCGTCAGTGCGCGAAATAATTGTTTTTAGAAGCCACTGGTGTGCGCATGCGGTGGCTACTATCACATAGCCACTGAGTCTCTATCTTGCTCTTCTCTTGATATTCATTCCAGTTTGTCACTGTCAATCATTGCACGTCTTAATCTTCCCTTTTTATGCACGAAGCTTCTTATGGCGTGGATTGTGCATCCCGCGTTGTCGTAGTGCGTAACATGTGGCACATACCCGCATACTAGTGGCACATACCCGCCCTCGGGCACACATACACATGTCCACATGTTACGAAAGACGTAGCATGGCGTCGTTATCCCGCTCTCTGTGTTAACAGAGCGGTGACAGCAGAAATATGGTACATACTCTCGTTTAGTCCTTGGATTGCCCGCTGAATGGCGGTACTTGTATATGATGAAGATATGATAAAAAGAAGCGAGATGGCAGTACTTGAAGTGTTCGCTAGATGGACGGATGGACGCACGGACGGATTTACAGACGCTTCGCCCCACTAATCATCATTCATTCCGTGGATATGCTGTGATTTTTCATGGGGGGGGGGTGATGAGTTCTCATTGTAAGTCATTGCACATGTTGATCCTGGCAACCATCACGATTCCCCTGTTTTGTATATTCACTGCATGTTTTCGCAATAAACATCAGTTACAAGTAAGCTCCTGTTCTTTCCGTTCTTGTCCACGTCGTTCATCTGTAGCACTTCTCTCCACGTCGGTAATGAATGAAGCAAGTATCACTGTGCTTGCATGCCTGTGCCCAATGCACGAAGGCGGAGAATCGGATAGGTGCTGTGAGAATCAATATATATTAGGGCACACTTTTTTACTATAAAAATGTGAACAGCGTGCTTGCACACACCACAAGCAACAAGCAACGTAAGAAACGAGTGAACGAGAGTTTTTTTCGGGTGACCCTAATGAGTTAATACTGCTGAACAATTCGATTCGAACAATTAGATTCGAACAATTCGAGCTGCGAGCAATTCGATTGTGGGTAACACTTCGCCACCTTCATGAAACTTTTATTTTGTTAGTACCCTTCACTATCCTTTTTGTAATGGTCAGTCGGCTTCTTTATTTGCATATATGTCGAACATGAGGATCGGCCTGAGATATTTTCTAATGAACAATTAGCGCAAGATGTTTTTTTTTTTTTGCGGATACAGTATCTTAAGTCCGGGGAATCGTTTCCGATGCACACGTGCTACCAATTTACCGATGTTTTCGCTCCATAAGTTACAACTAGAGCAGTCAGTCACTCTATCTCTACAAACTAATACATGTTGCTTATTCATCTCAGGGTGACTCCGGCGGTGGCCTGATGGTTCTGCATGACGACCGCTGGTACACGGTTGGTATCATCTCTTACGGCATCGGCTGTGCTACGCCGGATCTGCCGGGAATATACACTGACGTCACCAGATACGTCGGCTGGCTCCGGCACGAGTTGCGAGACGAGCTGTGACTAACAGTTTAGCGTGTGCAGTCACGCAGGCTATATAGTATACGTGCAGCTTTACTGGACGTCAAGTATTTAGTTTGTGTGAACGGCACCATGTGGCGTATTGACATTATAATTCTTAAGTCGCGCGGTGACGAATGCAGTGATATGGCAGTAAATAAAACGGAATCAATATGTCGCGTTTCTTTTTATAAAAATGCGGGAGCTATAAACCGAAACTGGACTAAACTTAAGTAATAATAATTGGGCTTGAACATCCCAAAAACCACGATATAGTCGTTAGGAACGCCGAATGGCTCCCGAAATTTCGACCACGTGGGCTTCCTTAACGTGCACTTAAATGTAAGTGTATACGCGGGCTTCAAGCGATACAAAATCCGCGACTTTCGGATTGGGCAGCCGAACACCATACACACCTGTCTGTACAGCTTGCCCTCCATAGCCGACAGGGAGGCTGCGCCCTCTAGCTGACAAACATGGTCGTGGTGACTAGACACAAGGACCAGCGTGCTCTGGAAGTCGCGGAGGCGTTCGAGGTGATAAAAAAAAAAGATACGTGCGTGAGCTGGCCATCTAACGCTTTAATTGATGAAGAAGTGGTTTTCTTGGAAGGTGCGCAGTTGCCTTAGTGCACGCATAAATTCTTTTCTTTGTTGGTCATCTTTGGGGCGCGTGATCTTTTGTTTACCTTTTTCCTACCCACATATATTTGTGAATCGTTTTGCCATTAAACATTCAGTTGATGGACAGCGCTAGTGTCGTTTTCTTGGCTCGTGCGTGTTCTGTTTGCACTGGTCATCATCATCACAATCACTATTCTCCCTCGCGGCAGACTGCATGTGAAGCTGCCATTTTTCTTCTACGACGACTGTATATAATTGATCAATTTATGCCAATACCGCTACTGTCCTTTTCGGGATTGACAGCTACGTGCCACTTTACCGACGACTTACCCCCGTATTCACAAACACTCCTCCACTCGACTTTCACCCTTCACTTGACAGAGTTGAGCACTGCGCCACAGCCCGGCTCAAAATGACACTGCGCTCCTCGAGAATCGTAGCAGATTATAGCTGATATGCAGTGACTTGCCGTGCCTAGAGACGGCGCTCCCATCGACTTTCTCAAGTGAAGGTGAAGCGTTGAGTGAAGGGACGTTCTAGAATATGGGGGTTAGTCATCTGAGCCTCGCGCAAGTGATGGTGACTCAGCTATTGCGCTGTTTAGGTTATGGAAACGCATCGCACCTAACGCTGGTGACAGAACACAAAAAAAAAATGCACTTGATAGTCTGTTCGTCACATTGTCTCGTGTCCAGGAGGGCTCAACATAATTGAGAACATAATGCATGTATTTGACTAAAGGAAACCTCCAACGCCGTTCAATCACTCATTTTACCCTAGTAGTTTAAGAAGTCTGAAAAGTGGAAGGATTATTACTGCAAGAACGGCGGCGATTGGGACACGCGGTGCGAAGCTTAGAAAATCTAAAATATAAGAAATACAAAAATGCCTACCCTCCACTCAATTTTAGCGGTGTTGCATATATAGTTACATGACCACATTTCACTCGCCAGGGTTTTAGCCAATGATGCTGCCAGGCACCACAAAATGAATGAGTTGAAAAGTCCTACGAAGGTATCGCACATTATTCATCATCATCATCATCATCATCATCATCATCATCATCATCATCATCATCATCATCATCATCATCATCATCATCATCATTGTCGTCATCATCATCATCATCATCATCATCTTGACTACGTCTACTGCAGGACAGAGGCCTCTGCCATGTTCCGCCAGTTAACTCGGTCCTGTGCTTGCTGCTGTCAATTTATACCCGCAAACTTCTTAATTTCATTTGCCTACCTAACCTTCTGTCTTCCCCTAACTCTCTTGCCTTCTCTGGGAATCCAGTTAGTTACCCTTAATGACCAGTGGTTGTCCTGTCTACGCACTACATGCCTGGCCATGTCCATTTCCTCTTCTTGATTTCAACTATGATATCCTTAAACCCCGTTTGTTCCCTAATCTACTCGCACGTTAGTTTTGCCTGTTAAATGCATTGTTCCTTGTGAGCTCACTACCGATGTCCGTGTAGCTATTAAATGACATTGAGCCCGGTTATCAATATTGTTGTGTTCGCTAAACGCAGTATATTCTTGTTGTGTGTTGGCAACATTTAGAATGCTCCTTCACGCTAGCACCGTATATATATATTTTTTATTTGATTAAAAAGGAGTTCCATGGTGTTCGCTGACATTAGAAGCTCAGCGTTCATGTCTACCTGTTTAGAAAAAAATTTATTTACAGCATGTACAGAACCGGTATCTCTGCAGCACAGTACAACATTGCTTTCAACTACATGGTCACGAATGGCATAAACCCACTGGGAAGCACAGCCTTCTCTACTATGCAGCTTTTGTTATTTGAGCGTGCTTAAGAGGCTACCCGATTTCGACATGCACAGTCACAATTCTGTGTCGTAAATCTCGTGTCGTGTAATTTTTTTTCGGGCAAATCCGTTGCAAGGAAAGGCGAATCGTTTTCATATTTTATCGAGGTGAAAGAAGACGTGCTTGATACGCGAGGCAGAGCCCGCGCTTTTTTTGAACAGCCAACCGAAGTGGCGGTAAGCCGAACCGTTACCGCGCCAAGCTCAAGTGCGAAAGAGTTCTTCACCTAGGTCGCTTCGCTTTCGTGTCGAGACAAGCACCCTGTCCTGTGGATTCTACTTCACGGCTCGGCTTCCGCGTACTCAGGTGAGGATGCATGTCGGTGTACCGTAGTTAACGTTTTTCTAAAGGCGTTGACCGTACCGTATCATTAATTCGGGGGAACGTGATTTATAGCGTGTACCTGATTTCATAGATGACGTGAGTACGCATGAGTACTCCAGCGTCACGGCTTTGACGACGTCCAAGCAACGCAGTCAAGTGTCGGTTAACCTGGTTCAACGTGATGACCGACGCCGAAGGATCGTTTTTGGACTCAACCGTGTCCGAATAGCGATACACTGATAACTTATAACATTAATTGTGGCGTCACAACCTTCGCATAACACTACGTTAATAGTACATAACGATGCTTTCGTTGATGCTAATTGAAGCCACTTATAAGGAAGTCGAAAAGGATGGGATCACTTCTTACAGACGACTATGTTTTAATGCGATGCAATGGTTGCAGCGACAAAATTAAACATACGGTTGCAGTAGTAGCAGCAGTAGCAGAAAACTTCATTTTTTCGTTTTGCTTGTGAAAGCCCAGAGAATGAAGCTGCCTATTCATGTCCCCATTTATTGCTGCTATCCGACTGGCCCGGTCAGTCAGTCTTCGCTAGATAGTATAGGGCGAGGGCTACATTTGGCTACTTTTTCATAGTCAGTGGTGGTTATTTCTGCATTTGCGCACATTTACACCAAAAGACTATTGCGCTGAGTTAATTCACCAACTTAGTCCCAGCTGTTCTCACACGTGGCTACTTTCACTGCCTTTGGCTCAAGCTGGCTATTTTCTTAGCTATTAACGCGATAGCATTAAAGAGCTCGTTTCACAGAAACTTCGGTGTGCGCGTCGGCGTCAGCGTCGTTGGTCGTGAGTGAAAAATCCTTATCTCACCATGATCACCCAAAAATCATCACCACCCAAAAACTGGAGAACGATGCATTAAAATAAATAAATTCTGAAAAATCCTGGAGCATAGTGGAGACCGAACCAGGGTTGTTTGGGTCCAAGTGGGGGATCGAACTCGGGTTGTTTGCGTAACAAATGGATGTTCTACCCTACGGCCACGCATCTGCTTGTGGATACAGTGAAAATAATTTCCTCTGTCTGGAAATGCACTGAAAGCAGCTTTCATGCTTCACAAACACACGTGTCCTGTATGCATGCTTCAGATGCAACATGAAATATCAGAGTAATAATGCATGACACTAGCGTCGATTGCCAACGGGTGTCAGAATAAGTGATTATTATAATGACTCCGTGGTTGAAAGCCGGTATTTATTTACAAAAGACGCACACGCTAATGCACCTATTCCCTTAAGACCACGTAGTGGGTGCACAGCAAATTCGAAAAGGTTTCATGCACTAAGTATAGTGCATGGATTACATATTCTAGACACTATACACTATGTGTTTGAAGTACGCACCATTAACAGGATGTCGATATCACATTCAATTCCTAAAAGCGAAGCTTTAGGGACCCTCATTTTTTCTCTGACTTTTTTACTTGCCAACCCTGCCAGGGCTATGCTGGAAAGACCGGCCTCACACTTGCAACGGGAGTCGTTGGGTAGGGTGGCTAGAACTTCTAGGCACCTTACATTGGTTATTCTATAGGCGGGCTGTGCGGTTTGGACTATACCCATGTGGAAGGGTATACTATAGCCTGGGATGTTCTCCACAAGATGGACATCTGTCAGGATCCCTACGCAAGAAGTTGACATTGGCCAGGATACTGTGTCGGGTAGAAAGTATGGCGTAATGCTAGGTTGGGTAGTTAGGGGCTGGAGCCCAGCCTTAGCATCTGCACAGGTCAGTGCGTGTGGTGGCGGGAAGCTCTGCGGGATCACCTGTAGTGCGGCAGTATGCGTGTGCATATCAGTGGCATTGTTTCTACCTTTTCTGTTTTGAATTAACCTTATTTCGCTGGACGGGTGATGCATCAGGCTGTCGTAAGAGCGAGCTGATTGTCAGGTGGAGATGCATTCCCAAGTGTCCAACAAGGTATACTATTGGGATATCTTGGTTTCGGTGAAGGATTTCATGAACAGTTGGGAGATATGCCTTTTGCACGTAGTATCCAAATACTTGTTGATAATATTCATCAGCCTATCGATGGATTAAATGCCTACGGGAGTGCAAAGGCGCACTCTTCGGTTTCCGTGCAGTTGTCGTCGGTTAGCGTTGCTGATACCACAGCTTCGCCCTTCCAGTCGGCCAGCGCTACCACTTTCGCTTTGGGGTTAGGGTAACCTTTGGCGTCTGCGTAATGAAAAAAAAAAAAAACTCTAAACACGGTGTTTATTATAGCTCTGCTACTTCTCTAAACTAGCGCTATTTGTGGCGTTAATGCAGAGCTAATGTAGTTCTTTGGAAGGTCCAATTTGTAACTCCTGCGTTTCATTCAGCTTCACTATACCGTGAAACATGGAGGATGTGCGTAGCGAGGGTGACCCAGCAATTCTCAGCGCTTGCCGAAGCAGTGACACCCTCTCTGGCGTGGCGCGAGTATCAGCCCGATATTTTAAAAGCATTTTTGTTGCGTATGTGACAAGCCTAGCTGCCGTGATCTGCATACGCAACAAAATTTTTTCACCGGCTGTCCAAACCGTGTCCTCCCACAGGTAAGCGCGGGCTTTCCGTGTGCGTTACGGCCAGAGCGGAGTGGCAGCAGCGAAGTCG